GCACAGTCGGCATGCCAAACCATACCCAAAAGTAATTTCGGAGCGTCGAAAACACCGATTGCTCTCCTTCCTACTGCTCATGCTTCTTGCTTGCACCCGCAGGCGCCACAGTCGGCATGCCAAACCATACCCAAAAGTAATTTCGGAGCGTCGAAAACACCTTTTCGGATCACTCGGGGAGTGTGAACTGCATTCTGGGCCACCGATTGCTCTCCTTCCTACTGCTCATGCTTCTTGCTTGCACCCGCAGGCGCCACAGTCGGCATGCCAAACCATACCCAAAAGTAATTTCGGAGCGTCGAAAACACCTTTTCGGATCACTCGGAGAGTGTGAACTGCATTCTGGGCCACCGATTGCTCTCCTTCCTACTGCTCATGCTTCTTGCCTGCACCGCCAAACCATACCCAAAAGTAATTTTGGAGCGTCGAAAACACCTTTTCGGATCACTCGGAGAGTGTGAACTGCAGCACTCTTGGAGCTCGGGCTCTTCTCCAAAGCCTTCCGGATCACAGATCTGCTCGGGCAAGTGAGGCCTTCCCATCCTCCTGCAGCAGCAGATCTTTGAGGAGCAAGCGCAAGCCCGCCAAGGCGTCCGCGGCCTGGCCCGTTGCGGGCCCTTTGTGTGCGCGGAAGGATGTGCGCTGAAGGAGCTGCGCGTGTGGTTGAAAAAGCAAACGCACTATAGGTAGGCCTCACATTGGCTGCTCCGGGACGTTCTCGGAGTATCGATAGGGTGTCGTTTTGGGTATCGTTCTGGGCGCGTGTGGTGTCGCGAAAAAAACAAACTTGCTATAAGCTAGAGCCAAGCAAGCGCAGAAGAGCCTTCTCTACCTTGCAGTAGTCATGTGATCAGCGGACTAAACTATGCTTTTCTGGCTCCCAAGCATTGGCGGCTTTGCTTGCTGGCTGCAACTTCCAGGTCGCAAGTCGCAACTTTCAGTACCAGCGCAGTACGCAAGTTACACTTTGGCAGCTCCAGCTCGAAGGTCGCAGCGTGCTCCGGTGCCTGCGGGCGCCTGTGCGTGTGCGTGTGCGCGGGTGCGTTAGCGATCCATCTGGGTGGGCCCCATCTCGTGCACACATGTGCCCACCATGCATTGCCGAGGAGCATTGACAGGAGCTGTCATGGCAACTTGCAGCTTGGGGCAAAAAAAGGCTCACACAGTGCAAAATAGAAGCGCGAAGCGCCAGTTGCACGTCATGCGACGTTATCGTTTTTGGGGCTTCGCTATATCGTTCCTGAGGAAAAAATACAAAACAAGCAACGCGAAATCGCCGAAGACATATTTTATGACGAGAGAGTTTAGCCTTTTGCTCACATGTTGTACCATTCTTGGTCTGTGTGTCTGCTGTTTTGGCGGCAAACACAAATGCCGTAGAATCAACCGATCTGAGTGGCACTATTGTTAAATCAAACGATTGAAGTTCATCGGGAATGCTACAAGGTATGACTTCCGGATGGGCCGAAGGGCCTCTACCACGTTGGTAGTCGACAAAAAATATGGTCCCGAATGGGACCGTTAAGCTTGGCCAAGGTCAAACAACATCCCAAGAAAGGGCCACTGGTTTGGACAACTCCCCGCATGGCCTTGGCTGTGTGCTCGAGATCTCTCACGCTGAAACATCTCCGTCTCGCGCTCTCGAGAGCTCTTCCGTGGTGCTTTTGCAGTCTTCCTTTCTCGCTTGCGGAAGGAAGACGCAGCCCACGGGCGCCTAACGGTCGCGATCTTGGGATGCCAGGCGATGTGCAATGACTTGCATGCTTATATGGGCAGGCCTCGGTGTGGTTTGGATGGGGGGGAGAGCCCGTTGCTGAGGCTACTTAGCAAATTAGAATGTTTTGGGAGTGTCTATGGGGAGGGGGCTTGGGTTGGCATACGTGTTGCCAAGCATTAAAACTGGAAAGAACTTGGCACGCGTCTGGCCATTTTGTGCGCAACAGTGAGGCTCAGGGTCGTGGGCATGCGCGACGAGCTGCTCTATAGCCCTGCTGCGTTTGCTGCGCTTGTCGTGGTCAAAGTCAATGGTGAGGCCTTTGCTGCATTGGGCAAAGCCAAGCATCGAACTACAACATAGGCAGTGCAAAATAACAGTCGACACACACACACACATATATATATATATATACACGCGCCCACTCAAATGCACAAGCATGCACCACGAAAAAATATAGCACTCTTTAATGCAAACCTGGGGCCATCTGTCTCATCAAAGCGGTGTCCCTGATGCCTTCTCATAGCAGTCGTTGCTTGGATTTCAGATCCATAATCTACGAATGCCATTCGCCCACCAACTGCCCGCAGCCCGCAAAAACCCTCATCCTGGCAGCAGTGTCTTGGGAAGGCAAGGGTTTACTCATTGCACGCGCAGTGTCCTTGGAGAAGAGGTCAGTGAGGTCTGCGACTGATGTCTTCTCCGGGATGTTTGTCACATAGAGAGTCAGGGCTTGCTGCGTGGTGGTTGTCTTGCCGCCACCACTCCACATGCTGGCATGCCAAAGCGTAAGCTGCTGGCATGCGGAATCAAGCCGAGGGGCAACCCTGACACAACTAAGCAACTTGCGGCCGCTGCGCTACCTGTCAAGTGAATAATTAATCCTTCGACTGTTTGGGCATCATGTGCGTGAGACATGGTTGGTGCACCGATGCACCTGCTACTTGCTGTCAATGCTTTGACTGGCGCAGCTGCGCGGGACAAGCGAGAAAGGTCACCATGGGCTGCTTTTCGCACCAGAATTAGCCAACCTGAAATCTGAACTCGCCTTACCCCCGAGTGGTGGTTTTGTGGGTGGTTCGGGGTACCTTCCCATTTTGTTTCAGGAGATGGCGGGGTTTATATTTCGAAGTCGTAAACCAACATCACCAATTAAGGGCTCCCTGGACAGCCTTGTCCCAGAAACAGTGTTGGACCCAGCCTCATTTGAGGGAAACAATGCACACAGTTGGCGCCGCATGTTGCCAGGAGTGCTGGCTTGGACCAAAGACCGGATTATCTTGGTCACTCCGACCCCTTGCCTCAAGTTTTGTCGGTGAAGCCACGCACCATCGTGCCGAAACACGAGGAAGCGATCTCACCGAATACACTTTGCTGCGCCTTCGGCTTTGGCTTCGGCTTCGGCTTGGATTTTGGCTGCTCTGGCCGAGCCTGGCATACATGGCTGGTCAAAAGCATGTACCAAAATGGCACCCTGGCAACTGGAACCAAAGACTAAAACCTGCATACGGTGGCTCTTTATTTTGCCACACCCACATCTCAGCAGCTCTCTACCACTCTCTAGAGCTAGCTCCCCCGCCCTCTGAGCCCAAAGTGAGCCAAACAAAAAGTCTCCATCATTTGGATCAGGTTGGATCTCAATGGACGAGCACCCACTCTTTGCCGCTGCAAGCTCTGGGCAACCCCTTGACATCGCAACATACCCGGGGGGGAACCAAACAAAAAACACACACAAGAAAAAGAGAGAACAAACAGGGACTCGGGCATGCCCTTGCGATTCCCGCCTTCGGTGCTGCCATCTTTGAGAAGGCCTGGGGGCTACAATCAGGGGGTTTTGTCGAAGCTTTGCGACTGTCGGGCCGAGGTTCGAGGGGCTGGGCCCCTGGGCGCCTTGTCCATGCTGTGTATGCTAGGAATCAGAACAGGCCATTTTGGGGGCTTTCTGGAAACCTCACAACTGACGGCCAAGCAGCAGCGCGAGTGCTTCTGCCGGGCTCACCTTGGGTCCAACAATCCAACACCAAGTTCAATATCTTGAGTCGGCTTGCACGGAAGCCCACGGAAGAACCAAACACCAAACTGTTCTTCAGACATCGTTCTTGGTCCCCAACGCTCTTGGGCCTTCTTAGCCGCTTCGGCCTGCAGGTGCTGGCACTGCTCAATTGCCCCATGGCGCAGTGTATATGACAAAAGTACGCGGGGAAATGGAGCCAATGGAGCCGAATCAACAAGTCGAGATTATACAGGCCGGACATGCAAGAAATCCACTCCCAACGCTCTTGCCACACCTCATCGTCGCCCAGGTCTTCGAAGTCAAACTCGAACATCCCATCGGCACACGCCCTCCCTACAAAGCCGGGGGTCGGGGGTCCAATCAAGTGCCCCCTGGCTACCTGGTGTTCTGAAGCATGTACGTCCGCAAGCCCACCCCCTCAAAGGACACACGCAATATAACTCAAATACACTCACCAGAGGTCGCAGAAATCGGGTCAATTCCCTCTGGTGCAATTTTCATGGTTTGGGCCGCTGTTGTTTGCATTGATTCTCCCCATGCAAAACAGCCTGGCGAAGAAATATTGTACTGGGTTGGGTCCGCCTGGAAGCCATGAACAAGCTTGAGTAGCGGCATGTAGCAAACATGCAAAGCTCCTCAGATGTGGACATGCCTCATCCGTTGCAATCGCGAAAGTGGGCGGCGGCAGTCCAGTCAGGATCATAAAACGCACGCATTAGGTCATTGCCACTGTTTTCTCAGAATGGCATCTGCGACTTCAAGTAGTGCTCCCACCAAATCCTGAGGCACTTCACTCAAACCTTCACAGTGCCATCTCAAAGCGCGCAAGCTTTCTCACAAAGCCGCACAACAAATATAATCACTTCTTCCTATTAATCAGCCTACCCCTAATAATAAAACTCCCCCGAGCCGCAGCAAAACATCGGCAATACTAAATTTCAATTGGCCAATACTAAACCAATACTAAACTCCTGAGACTACACATGCTTTCCACCAAGCTCCCAAAATATGCTTATTTGGGGGTCCCCCCTTCAGAGTGTGTTGAAACAAGAAGGCTACGGGACACTCCCTTTCGAAGTTCTTACTTGAAAGGTGCAATCTGAGCAGTTTGTGCTCCAAGTCAAAGGAGATCCACTTTCCAATACACGTCCAATACAAAACAGCAAACTATCAACTGGATCTAGGCCCAAACCGGCGACCCCTAATAAAACTCCCCTTTCATTTTGGGGGGACGGTCTTTTATTAGGGAGAAGCGATTCATGAGATGTCTGATCATCGATTCGCACGCTGCGAGCACCTAAGATGATGGATGAATCTGAGAATCTGCTCCAGGTCGCCCTTCTTGGCTTCCGCATCCCACGGCTTTGGCGATGAACAGAAATGCAACACCTTAGCGTCACGCAGGCCGGCCCTTCCGATTTCTGGAAGTTGGTGCTCAGAGCCCGGCCTTGAGTGGCATCAAGGATTGCCAATATCCAGGATTCGCATGAGTAAACCTTGGTCACTTTTAGCACAGCATGGCTCACCCACTGACGCGGACGTGGGCGTGGCACTGACCCCCGCTCCGGCTGCAAAAGGCAATCCAGAAATGTTGACACCGCTTTTAGGAGCTGGCCAGTACATTGTCCTCAGCGCATTGTACCGGAAGGGCAGTCGCTGCTCCGCAGGCCAAGAGAACCAGTCAGGGTAGAAGGAATTCAGGAAGCCAGTGTCACCTTCACAGGCTGAGATGAGCTCAACTCATCAGACAACGAGGGTGAACACCACTCCACCTCTAGTGCTGAGCACTGGTGCCTCCGTCATGTGATGGTAGTTTCTCGCACTGCATGATCATCTCCTGCTCTCGCCAGCTTGGATCGCAGGAAATCTCTCTGCGTGCGGTCGTCTAAGCAAATGTTTCAGGCAAACACCGCGTGATGAAGACGTTTTACTCCCAGCGTTGCACTGCTTCTAGCACGACAGGAACCCTGCTTTCGATTCAACACATGTCCTGAAATACCACCTTGCTGGGCTCAAGCACAATGACGCCAGCGTTAAACTTGTCGGGCGGAAAAACATCCTTGGCAATGGGCAACGCTACGAAACAAATCAGGAAGAGATATGATTGTCAATTTCCAGCTTTGCACCGGTAGGACAGCAACAATTGAACCTGTCTATACATCTGAACATATCTGAACGAAGCACAGTCCGCGGCATTCTGCAATGAGGCTCGGGGGCAAAAGCTGGGCAGGGCCGGCCAAACAAGTCGTCGATGTTGTCCTGGCCATCGGGGATGTTGCCGACGAGGCACAACGACCACTTCACCCGCATTCTCTGTGCCAAGGCTCAAGAACCAAACAATCCGCGTCTATGTAAACCAGCTTTGCCTCAGTCAGCGACAAGTCTAGATCATTTTCATTGACGCCAGTGCAAAGCGTGGTCCAAAGAGGCAAAGCAGGCTAGGCACAAAGTCATCTTGCTCCCATATCCGCAGCTTCGTGAAGCCAGAGTTAACCCAGCCAGGCCTCGAGAGGAAAACCTCGCGACCAACAAAACACGCCAAATCAGCTTGCGACAAACTGTAACCGTGGCAGGCGAGAAACATGAAATGCCGAGACGCACGTCAGTGCTATGCGGGTTGGGAATGGCTTCAACCGCTCGCCTGGGCTGGGCACCGCCGAGTGCAGAGTAATGCTCATTCCCTTCCCTGACTCTGAACTTGTGCTCACCTTGCTCCACCAAACTCCGCCCCACGCAGCACCCGCCAAACAGCATATTGCCATATGACTGGCCAGTGTTAAACGTTGTGCCCAGATTGCAGCCTCTGACCTGGTCCAAATACGTTGAACGAAACATGGGAGCGAAGAACATGTGTGATGAACTGTGCCGGCAAGCAACACTGCCACCGAAGCGTCGGCTTCTAAACGTGAAACCGTATTGGCAGATACCTGGTCCGTGTAAAGTACCTGGGGAGCAAGCTTGAATCACAGTACGCGCCGGTCAGGGCGGCAAACGCAAGTACTCATGATTTTGCAGCCGGGCTTCCAAAAGCGGCAAGTGAGCAGTGCGAGTGGCCTTCAACGACGATGCCAATGCTTGCACAGCCTGTAGCTGGTGGATGCCGGTGGTATCAAAATTCATGCCAATGACCAAGCGCAACATCCCCGCAACAACACACCGACCAAAGGCATGACTGCATCAAGCACGGCCAAGGATGGCCAAGGAATTTGTTTGCCAGCTGTGCGGCGCGCTTGGCAAGCCTTCCTGTTAAACAACACGCCAGCACACATCTATGCGAGACAGCACCACCTAGTAGTATGAATGTCGCGCCAAGGGGACGTGACGAAGAGCAGCAATTTAAACACGTGAGCATGCCAACGGAAATGATGCTTACACCGACTTGCGTCGTGACAGCCACAGACATGGTTGCAACGTTAAACAATGGCCGATAGACATATATATATATATATATTTATATATACACATAACAACAAACAACACAACATCCTTATAATCTACGCGAACAGCGGGCACCGCGCGCCTAGAACACAAGAGAATACTGCGCAACATTGCGCAACACCGTAACCGGATGAAAACCAAAAAGCAAGTAACCAAGACAGTGAGAAAAAACCACCGCGGCAACAAATGAAACAAACATGACACGCAAACCGCAATAGCCTCCCCAACGCCAGAGGCAAGGGCAACGGCAGCGCAGCTACACCATCCCCTGAAACTGTGTGCCCCTCTATCATTGCCTCCTGGAGCTGCCTCAGCCGAGTAGCCATCAGAAAATCATCTGAAGTGATGAGCGTGACAAAAGACATAGAAGCGCCCACAGCGATTGCCATGGCAACGTCGCTCTCCCATCTGATCTAGTTTGTTCAAGCAAGAAAGCCCTTTCCTCTGCACGAAATATGTTTGACGCGCTGAAAGCTACCATCATGTTGCCTGCTACTGCTACCCTTGCTCTCTTCGAAGGCAAGACAGCCAATGGCTGCCAAGGCGGACGCTGAGTTTACAGCCATGACAGAGTCACCGCGTTTCCTAGCCACGCCACCAACCCGCTAACCACCTGCAGTCAGCATCAGTCAGCCCGACAAGGTTGCCTTTGAGTGAGCGAGTGAACGAAATGGGATCGGGCTCTTGTCTTGTGAAGCTACTGCGTTTCGGCATGTTGCCGCACTTCAACCCGCACACCCTAAGCTTCAGGTTGGTGCTTTCCGAAACAAGAACGTAAACGCTTCGTCGCCTTCCGCCACCCTGCAGGCCCAACCGCGCAGCAAGCTACGAGCTCCGGGCAGGTCCTCCCGCTTGACCAAGGCGGCAGCGCGGCGCAGGCCACAGCCATTGACGCCTGAGCGTCGGGCCATCCGCAGCGGCAAGCCCACGCAGTTGCAGGGAGCGGCATGCACAGGCGGGAACAGCTCGCTGGGCATCCGGAAGCACGCAGGGCTCGCGATGTGAGCAGAGCGCGCGACGCACTTGCGCGCTGTCATGGCCACCGGAGAATGGCGCTGCTGCACCAAGCAAGGCACCGCCCCAGCTTCTCTGGCACTGCCCCTGTGGGCCAACGGGCTGCCTTGCTTACGGCAGCTGTAGCCCGTCGGAAGCAGCAAGGCGGCGACAAAAAACACAACATACCCCGAGCTGTCAGCTGGCCGTGACGGCCCGTGCAGTGGGTGGACGCTGGAGCACCGAAGCTTTGGACTTTGTCCGGCAACTTGCCCGAGCCCGGGCCCGTTATGTCCAGCGCGCTGACCGCGGCACACGTGAGGCGATGGTGTTCTCTGCTCGCCGCTGCAGCCGTTAGCTTGCTGGCGTGCGGCCCGCTGAGAACCTGCCAAAGTGTACGGTGCTCCAACTGTGCATTGCTGACATTTTGGAGCCGCGGCTCAGGAAGAGGAATGTCCGGGCTTGCATGAGGGAGGAAGCTGCCCTCTCAAAACCGAAGCTCGCAAAGCTTCTTGTGCCTAGAAACGCCCCATCGCTGCCTGCGCCGTCCGCGAATTGTGTGTGAGAGGGACAACGGTCAGCATAGATGGTGTCGTTGCGTATGACCATGTCCACTGAGTAAGCACGTTGGGAAGCCTAGCGGGTGACAAGGCGCTCGCCCCGCTACTTCCCTTCACTCGCCTCTTCTACGCGGAGAGCAGCACGTACCTGTGGCACGACGCTGCGGGCACAGCGCGCGACATCGCCCAGGCGGAAGGGGGCGAGCAAGGAGACCCACTCATGCCAGCTCTCTACGCGCTCGGGCAGTACCTGGCGCTCCTGGCGGCTGCCGCCACCTTGCTCCCTGGAGAGACCGTTTTCGCTTACCTGGACCTGGACGGAGTCTATGCTGTGTGCCAGCCGGAACGGGGACACGCGGTTGCCAGCGTTGCCCGAGCGGTGTTGCAGGAGCACGCGGGCATAGAGGTGCACCTCGGCAAAACACGGCTGTCGCAGAACCGTCAATGCGCTGGCTGCAAGGACCGGGCGGGGGCGGCCTGGTTGTTCTGGGTGCGCCGGTGTGCCGCCTTTGTTCAGGACCATCTGCGTCAAAAACGCGCGGAGCTTGACCGCATCCCTTGCGTGCCCGACTTGCAGGCGGCGTGGTTGCCGCTCCTCTTCTGCGCCGTGCAACTACCTGCTGCGAGCCTTGCCGCCCGCTGACACGGCTGAGTATGCCGCTGGCCACGACGAGGCGCTCGCCGCTTGCTCGCCGGAGACGGAGCTGACGGCTGCTCGGCGCTGCGGGGTGCCGAGTTGGGCGAGCTAACAACTGCGGCGAGTGCAGTTGCCTTTGGTGCGGGGCGGGCTTGCGAGCGGCGCGCAGCCGCATTAGGCCTCCTGGCTGCGCTAAACGCGGGCGGCGGCGGGCTGCCGTGCGCAGCCTAGGCTGTCCAGGCAGCGTCCACGCTGCCAACGGGTTTCAACAGGCCCACGTGGCAGGAGCTGTGGGAGGTGCCGGGTGAGCCGGGAGACTTCCTCCGCGGCTGGCAAGAAGAGGCACCTCGCTGACCGACGAGGCGGTGCGCAACACGCTGTTTTCAGACCTTGACCTTGCGTCACGCGTGCTGCTGTTGTCGCAGGCGGGGCTGCACGTGTTTCCAATAGCCGCAGAGCTTCGGCTGCCTAGCGAACTGTTCATCGTCCTGCTTCGCCGCCTGCGCGTGCCACTCCCCGCATCTGCGCGTGCCTGCCGCTGCGGGCGCCCCGCAGATGCTTTGTGCGACTGTCACTGCTTGCCCGACGTCCGGCGTGCTGCGGACAAGGGCTGTTGCCGTGGAGCGGGCAGTTGCTCACGGCAGTTGCGAAACATACTTGATGTCCCAGTATCTGATGCCTGGTGCATCAAGATCCTTGCGTCTGCATTGCCAGTGTGGCATGGCGCCCAGGTTGCCATCAACACCACGTTCGTCAGCCCGAACCGGGAGGCAATAAAACTGTTCTTAGCAAACTTGCAGTGGTCACGCGATATCACGGCGCCAAGGTCCAGCCCAGAGTTGGCTCTTGCTTGCGCGTAGCGGGTGCGCCTCCGAACACCTTACGTCGCCTCAGGCCGTTCGCCGCGCGTCCGAGGCGGGCTGGCGGCGCAGGTGGTGGGCACCGCTCAGCGCGGCCTTGCAGCGCACCCTCCCTTCCACTCTGCTCGGGGGGCGTTGGCTTCCCCCCGCGCGGCCGGCTGCGGAAGGCGAGCCCGACCTCGCCGATGTCCTTGCTTTGGCTGGGTAGCCGCCGCGTCGGCGGCGCGCGCGCTTCGCTCGCCTTTCTCGGCTGCCATTTCGGGTGGGGGGGGGGGAACAAACAAAATAAATAATGAAAGAAACACAAGTAACCATAATATTTCTAGCTGTTTCCCTTTCCTTTGCCTAATTATCCTTGACGAAGGGAAGGGACATTATCTCTCTCATTTCTTGTTCCACATTTTTTTCCGCGCGCGTTTTTCCGCTGCAACTGTCGGTGTGCCTAAGGGGTTTGCCTCCGGGCATGAGAGGGCTTCGCCCTGCTCATGGGGCGCTGCCGGGCACGGGAAGCTTCACGAGCTGTTTTTGTTTGAGAGGGCAGTTTCCTCTCTCACGGCTGGCATCCGGCGGAGGCTCAGCATGCGCACCAAGAATGTTCCACATCCTAAAGAAATTTGTAGATGGATGTGGATAAAGAATGACAGGTGAATGTGAGGAAATCCTATAGACGAAGCAATTCACCTACTCTCTCCTGTCCCTCGCTCCCTTTGTCCTGGGGACCCATGTCACCGCAGCTGCACGGAACAATTTTTGGTGGTGGAGCCGTGCTAAGAGATTTTTTTCTCGCGCCTTTTTCTGCAGCGTCTCTGTCGCAATTAAGGGGGGCCCCGGGCACTAGGGTTCTGCAAACTGTTTTTTAGGAGGCCAGCTTCCTCACCTGCACGCTGTTTTTACGGAGGGCAGCGTCCTCGCGTGCACACGACGGCTACCGGGCCGGCAGCCGCGACGCCCCAGGGGAAGATGGGCACGCCGCGAGAAGGTCACTCAAGTCCGGGCAAGGCCCATCAAGGTTGCTCAGGCCAGGGGAGGGCAAGGAAGTGAGGCTGTCAGCAAAGGCAAGCGAAGCTGCAGCGCACAACAAGCCGGACCATCGGTGGACATAAGCACTTCGAAGGGCAGGGCGAAGGGCCTCCGGCGCGGCTCGGGCTCTGGCACGCGCGAGGAGGCGGAGAAAAGAGGCGGCCGCTGACCCCCAGCGGCCTCCGACCTCTACACCGATCACAACCAGGCGGCAGCGGGCGCTGGCAAGAAGCTCGGGGTAGGTTGCTTCCTTGCGGCGCCGGGCCTCCAGAAAAGCGACGGGTCGGGCCGGGTCGCGCCGAGAACGGGCCTCCCCAGCGGCGGTGAGCGGGGACACAATGGTCGTGTCAACCGCGAGCTGGGCCCCATTCCACAAAGGGAGCCCGTTGGCGATGACCTCGATGCGACGGTCATCAAAGCGAGAGACCGCCACATTGAGGTCACGGACAAGGGTGTTCGTGGTCACTCGAGCCCCGGCCTCGCGGCACACGCGGGCTTGCACGCTCGAGCGGGCAGCCTCGACTCCGGAGTGCACCAGACCGGGAGCACGCTGCACGGTGGTCGCCAAGAGGGTCAAGAGGGCGACGACACCGACAGGTGCGGGCGGACAGG